TAATAATTATTTAATCGCGAGACGACACCGCTGTCAGTGAAGAGAACCTTATCAACATTTCAGTTTCACTTTTAAAAGAAATAATAAAAGGATTACAAACAAAGGCAAATAACACTGCGGACAGTAACATTACCGCGTCACCCTCCCACGCGCACTCTAAACGCGTGCACACTTAAATAAGCCCTCCTTTTTCATCAGCACTTTTAGAAACGCTGTGTTTTTATTCGGTGTGGTCAGAAGTTCTGGGCTAACAGACAGAGATTAGATTCTTTCTCTCTCTCTCTCTCTCTCTCTCTCTCTGTCTGTCTCTCTGCTCGCGCTGCGTGTGATGGACATGGTGAAATGGAAATGTCAGCGTGTCCGGCAGGGGGAAAGAGCAGCGGGCTGCGCGCCTTTATTACTCTAAAGTGTGTGTGTTTTTAATGTGCTGGAGATGCGAGCTCTCTGCTGATAAGGCTTATCGCGCGCTGATCGGCCGCTGCGCTCTGCTCTCCGCTTAGCATTACAAAGAGGCAGCTAATAACAGCTTTAAATCACAGCACATTCACCACAGCGCGCACTAATACACACACTGCAACACCTACACCAGCGCTCTTACTATTATTATTATTATTACTATTATTATTATTATTATTATTATTATTATTATTAGGTGTTGTTGCAATTATCATGTTACATTTATGTTATTATTGTATAATAACACGTTGTTATTAGTAGTAACAGTATTATTGTTATTATTATTATAAATAATAATAATAATAATAATAATAATAATAGCAGTTGTAGGCGTTGCAGCTTACGCCTTCATTATTGTTTGTGATGATAATGCTGCTGCTGTCATTGTTGATCTCTGCTGTGAATCTGTTTTATTTTTGTTAACCAGTGTCAAGCGATGTGAACTAATTTAAGTGATTTAAGAGACGTTGTTAACTAATTTCAAGCGATAGCCAACCTTCATTTGATGATTGTTATTTTTTTTAATTCTGATATTGTGATCTGTGTGATACCATCTTCATCTCCATCATCAGATTTCAGGGAGCGTTGATAAGAGGAAGCTTTAACACACAGCTACGCAGCTATCAGTGAAACGGGGATCCATTCAGACCATTTCAGCACTCACTACAGGCTGCTGAGGATTTAAAGCTTCACCCTGCTGCTTCCAGCCCGCCATGCGACAGCTTCAGCTATGGCCCTCTAAACACTGCATTCAGTTCACACACTATACAGAAAATAACATGTTTATTATATGTAGTAATTATATTTATAATATAGGTGTGTGAAGGGCCTGGCTGTAGGAATGTGTGGCCAATCAGCTCACATGGTACAGAGTGGTATATGGTATTATGGGACAGCTTCTTATGTGGTGCTAAGGTACAGTATGATATAAGGTAATCTATGGGATAGTATATAAAATGATATTATAGTACTGTTGTATATGGTACCATAGGATAATGTGTTTTGGTATTATGATATTGTATAACTTATTATAACAGTGTATAACATGGTAATATGGGTTTTGTAATACATCAGAACAGTGTGATATATGGGACAGTGTTATGGGACATTGTGTCTTCTGGTATCCAGGGAAAATGTGTTTGTTGTATTACAGCACAGTGTGTTACATGGTATTAGGTATGTAATGTGATATATTGTGACAGTGTGTTATACTGTAATTTGGAACAGTATGTTACATGGTATTACAGGACAGTGCTGTATGGGATTATGAGACAGTGTTATATAGTATTATGGTATGGTGTTATATGGTATTATGGGGATTATGCTACATGATAAGTCACAGAACAATGTTATATGGTAATGTGGGACAGTGTATTATATGTTCTTATAGGCAACATGCTATGTGATAAATTATGGAATAGTGTGTTATTGTATTATGTGACAGTGTGTTGTATGATATAGTGTTTTCTAATGTATTATAGGACAATATGTTATGTGGTATTATGGTGTAGTGTCTTCTATGGTATGTTAAAATGTCATATGGAATTATGGGACAGTTTGTTATATAGTAATGTTGGGCAGTGTATCATGTGGTATTACGGGGCAATGCGTTATACTATATTATGGGACAGTGTGTTATAATGTTGGACGGTGTATCATGGGACAATGTGTTACATTATATTATGGGACAGTGTGTTATATGATATACTGTCTCATAATGTATTATGGGACATTATGTTATGTGGTATTATGGTGTAGTGTCTTACATGGTATTATGTTGTAATGTCAAATGGTATTATGGGACTGTGTTACATAGTAATGCTGGACAGTGTATCATGTGGTATTATAGGACAATGTGTTATGTTGTATTATGGGACAGTGTGTTATATAGTATTATGGAACAGTATGTTATATTGTATTATGGGACAGTGTGTTATATAGTATTATGGAACATTATGTTATATTGTATTATGGGATAGTGTGTTATATAGTATTATGGGACAATGTGTTATAATAATGGACAGTAGTGTATCATGTAGTATTATGGGACAATGTGTTATATTGTATTATGGGACAGTGTGTTATATAGTATTATGGAACAATGTGTTATAATGTTGGACAATGTATCACGTGGTATTATGGGACAATGAGTTATATTGTTTAATGAGACAGTGTTTTATATAGTATTATGGGACAGTGTGTTATAATGTTCAACAGTGTATCACGTGTTATGGGACAATGTGTTACATTGTATTATGGGATAGTATGTTATATAGTATTATGGGACAAAATGTTGTATTGTACTATGGGACAGTGTGTTATATAGTATTATGGAACAGTGAGTTATATCGTATTATGGGATAGTGTGTTATATAGTATTTTGGGACAATGTGTTATAATGTTGGACAGTAGTGTATCATGTGGTATTATGGGACAATGTGTTATATTGTATAATGGGACAGTGTGTTATATAGTATTATGGGACAATGAGTTATATTGTATTATGGGACAGTGTGTTATATTGTATTATGGGACAATGTGTTATATAGTATTATGGGACAATGTGTTATATTGTATTATGGGACAGTGTGTTATATAGTATTATGGGACAATGAGTTATATTGTATTATGGGACAGTGTGTTATATAGTATTATGGAACAATGTGTTATAATGTTCAACAGTGTATCACGTGTTATGGGACAATGTGTTATATTGTATTATGGGACAGTGTGTTATATAGTATTATGGGACAATGAGTTATATTGTATTATGGGACAGTGTGTTATATTGTATTATGGGACAGTGTGTTATATAGTATTATGGGACAATGTGTTATATTGTATTATGGGACAGTGTGTTATATAGTATTATGGGAAAATGAGTTATATTGTATTATGGGACAGTGTGTTATATAGTATTATGGGACAATGTGTTTTATTGTATTATGGGACAGTGTGTTATATAGTATTATGGGACAGTGTGTTATAATGTTGGACAGTGTATCATGTGGTATTATGGGACAATGTGTTATATTGTATAATGGGACAGTGTGTTATATAGTATTATGGGACAGTGTGTTATAATGTTCGACAGTGTATCACGTGTTATGGGACAATGTGTTATACTGTATTATGGAACAATGTGTTATATCGTATAATGGGACAGTGTGTTATAATGTTGGACAGTGTATCACGTGTTATGGGACAATGTGTTATACTGTATTATGGAACAATGTGTTATATCGTATAATGGGACAGTGTGTTATAATGTTGGACAGTGTATCATGTGGTATTATGGGACAATGTGTTATATAGCATTATGGGACAGTGTTATATGTTACTGTTGTATAGTGTGTGGAACAGTGTGTTATATTGTAAAATATGGTGTAGTGTGTTATAAAGCACTTACGTCATACACCCCAAATTACAAAGTTTTGTTTCTTTTTTTTTTACAGCATTTCCTTTTGCACACTTAGAAAGAGCACACAGGGGCCAAGCACCAGCTGCAACTGGAATAAACAAGTTTCTCAAAGCGTTCAATTACCTGATGTCCTGTAATATCAGCTCCCACTCTGACTATCTTTATCAGCTTGTCAGATCTCTTTAGATCTGCATGCTCAGTCCAGAGTGCCAAGAAATCTCCCAGATCTCGCGCTGATAACGTAAATAAAGGACTGAACGAACGCGCAGCACTTTAAAACGGGGCTATTCCAGACCAGAAAGAGGAAAAAGTTTGTGAGAAAAACTCTCCGTCTCTCAGCGCTGCGCGCGGGCCGAAAGCAGAAGCGCTCTGATGTTTATCGTTAAATCCCGCGGCCGGAGCGCTTCACCTCTCCGTTTCTGTGGCTCGCGCTGACAGCCACAAACCCAGGGCAGAAAACAGGAGCGCGAGCTGCTTTATTGCTCGTATTTCTAAGCGGAATTAATGCTGTCAGAGTTCACTTCTTCCTCTCTCTCTCTGTCTTTATCCCAAAACGCCCCCCTCCACTTACCCCCCAACTGCACCTGCCTGCCTCGCGCCTGCAGCCGCGGCACAAGCATAAGCGCGAGCCTGGCCGGGCCATGGTCTCGTGCTGGAGATTTGCAGCGGCTTTGCATGTTTTAAAAGTTGCTGTTAGCCTGCGCTCGTGCTCCTGAGAGAGAAAGAGAGAGAGGGAGTTAAAAATAATAATAACAATAACAGGAGGAGGGGCAGAATTCATTAAGTGCTCAGGGGCGACTGACTAATGCAGAGCTGCGCATGCATATTCAAAACACGCCGAAATGCATCTGCAAGGAAGGGTCACGTGATTGACGTCCACTAGCGGTGCGCGAGACCCTTCATTATTTTATTCAGAAAAGCTAACGCGCAGATGAGGTGTAATGTAATGCGACGGTGCCAGCGACGCCTCCCTCACAGCGGATGAGCTCGAAAGTGTTGGCGGTGTCCAGCAGCGGTCAGCTACAGCGCCAACTGCGGGCAAAAAAAAGCGAAGGCTTTGGTGCTGCGAAGAACGTGCCATAGAGCTGGAGAGCGGCAGGAGAGAAGGATTGGCTGAGAGAGAGAGAGAGAGAGAGAGAGAGAGAGAGACTGAGAGGTGTGTGCTAAAGAGGCCACAGCACCCTCTATCCAAGTCTGTGGTCAGTTTGCTGTGTGCTTGCCTTGGCTGCCGGACCTGCCCGCGCGCTCCCATCCAGCCGGACACGGACGCGACGGACAAATTCGAACAGAACACGCGGGACCGTACCGCACGGGTAAGAGCCTCTTTCTGAGTGTGTATTACATACGGGCAGAAGAAGGGGATCGCTCGCGCTCTCACATACTCATGCGCGTACACGCAGAGAGCAGCTTTCCAGGGCGTCTGGCAGCGGCGCCTGTTTGGGGATAATGAGGATGTTTTCGTGCTGTCTGTCCTAATTAGGCGCGCGCTTCAGTGAATGAAGCATTTTGATATTACTGCCATCCTACACAGTGCATGCGCAAACCGAATTTTATGTGGATTACTTAGGTCATTTAAACCGTGTTTGCATTTATAATAATAATAATAATAATAATAATAATAATAGCATCATTATTATTGTTATTATTATTATTATTATTAATAATAATAATAATATATTGATGTATGGATTTGCTGTTATGCCATTTTCATCGCTCTTCCTTTGTCTAATTATTATTATTTGCTGTGGCACGAATTCTCAAATTGGATTGTGTGGAAAAGACTGAAGTGTGAATTATTGAGAAATATTGGATTAATGACAGATATTGTTAATTCACTGTTAATCTATGATGGCATGTTTCGAAAATGTAATTCCTTCTCAAAATAGGCAGTCAAGCAAAATTGTAAATGCCATTTAACGTGTCAGAAAAAAATACGTAAACAAAGCCAATAGTGTAACTAATTTTATTCTAAAAGGGTAAATAATTTGGAAATGTTACTATTTTACTCGTGTAAAAGCTTCTTTTGGGAACTACAAGTCTGTAGGCATGGTGCGCTCTTCTTTCCAATGGCAAACACTGTTAATAAACACACACAAGCATATAAACATCCTGGAAAAACACACGCACTCCTGCTTTCTCATAACAAAAACGAGCAAACGTAAATAACGAACGTTTCAGATTTTGTGGCCAATGGTTTTAATTGTAGCATTTCAATATATCTGAGCATATAACCTATCAGTATAGTCCTTCCTATTAGGATTAATATCACATTAACTTGCATGTATTGCGCTCCAAAAGAAATTGCTGAATTGCTTGAATGGGCAAAAATCCCCAGGGCTGAATTAACACCCACAGTGTTCATATTTAAGTCCAGCTGGACACAGACCAGCCCTGTAGGATTTTTTCTGCTGTGTATGGATGCCAGAGCAGTCCCGGCATTAACCTGCACCCATTTAGAGCAGCAGCACGAGCTTCCCAAAGTGCTGTCAAACAGAAAGGAAGAGGGGGTGTGCATGCTTGTCCTGTCATCACCGTGGAGATTTATGACCGCTGCTGCTGATAAAAAAGTCACACTTTTGACTCCAAAGAAAACTTTCAAGTGGCTTTCAAGCCGTACACACATGCAGCAACCGAAATCGGTCGAGCTAACCACATGTGTCCATTACTGGAGGCTGAACCCGCGCACGTGCATGGGGTGAAAAAAAAAACAAAGCGAGAGACACGCATGTTATCCAGGAGAGGGAGAAGAGGCTCTAGTTGACTTTGCTGGGTCTGGCCCCCAGTGCCCTGTCACGATCTAATTACCCGTGAGTAAAGGACAATGCTGCTTCAGTCTGCTCTGTGTCATTGCCCCCTTACCCCCCACCCCCCCATCTAAGTCTGCTTATCTTCACAAAACCGTCTGTGGCAACCTCCACCCGCCCAGTTGGACCCATAGGGAGGCAAAACCTATTTGAGGGCACCTGTTAATTATAGGAACGATTGCCCCCCATCTTCCACTGATTTAAGCAATAAGGGGGCACGATTATTCTGAGCTGGTTCCTCTGGAGTAAGAGGATGGTGAAACTGGTGAAGCGCGACCGTGCAAATATGGGAGATCAGTAGCCTTACTACCAGCGTTGTAGGCGGGGCAGTTGGACCCGTGATTGGACCCCTAATATCGCTACTAACGCAATTTTACATACATGATAATTACATACATGAACTTCATTGCTTAATTATTTCATTAAGCAGGTTCATTACACTTCTTTTACAGAAATATTCTTGAAAGAATTGAAAAGTTCTTGAGGGAACTAAAGTAGGCCCCAAAGAACTGTTTATAGCACCTTTCTATTTTTACATTTTTTAAACTGTACATAGGAAGATCAACTACCTAGGTGGACATAGGTGGAGCAATAGCGAGTAAACAAGCAAACTGCATTGGACTGTCAGTTTTTTTATTTATGGTGGGTATTTTTATATTGGCTTATTTAAAAATGTATTATTATTATTATTATTATTATTATTATCATCAAGCCAGCTTGTTTTAGAGCCCTCAATGGTGTGGTAGTACTCTTGGTAGTACCCCACAAGAACTTGGTTCCAGCATTGCTACCTGCTTGATTACCACAGGCATTTAGCACTGGTCTGCTTCAAAGAGGCCTGCTGGGAAAGCTGTATCAGACTAAAGAGGGCCATTAGCAACACTGCTTGTTGTGGACATGCTGACCAGTTCAACTTAGGAGGAGAACCCATAGGCCTTCAAACCTACAACCATTCAGGGCTGCCACATTAACAGCCTCCAAACAAAGTTGTCATTAACCTGTTAGTTATTGTTGTCATTGAGCTATGATAAGTCAATTATTGCAGACTAATGGTCATTATTTTTGCCACTGTTGGGAACTAACACCTGGTTTAAAGAACACACTCACTGCTCTCAAAGAAAGTGGGCAAAGGGTCTGCTTTAGAACAATGGACTGAAGTGGCTTTGGCCTTACTTAGTCCTAAACTTGATTCATAACTTGTTCACCAATATAAGCTGTTATCTTTGGAGGCCTCTGGCTGCATATAGTCTGGCATAGAGTCTGGACAAATGATGACCCAGTGAAGCCATGCAGCTTACTAAACAACACAATCTAATTCATTAAACACTGAGTTTACAGAGGAAAGTTAGAAGACGGATTGCCTCACTTTTCTAAGCAAATTAATAAATTAATTTGAAGGTAAGTCTATCAATAGAATTTAAGTAAACTGTTTATTCTCAAGTGGAGTAGTACATCAATTATAAAGACATTTCTCAGTAATATTTGCTAGAAATTTACTATTTAAATGCATGTCTTTTCTGATTTTTTAGTTAAAATATTTATTTAAAATTTCATTATAAAGTAGACTATTATGATTTCTAGCGTTGGTGGGTTTTAGGGACAGAAAGTGCATATGGTTCACCGCAATGAAGCCAATATGGACCTGTTATGTTAGTTCCGTTCATTGAAACAGCATACTGTTTAATATTGACTGCAAAGCTCTTTAGGCCCACAAACACATTTGAAAAAAAAAATGATAATAATAAATAAATAACAGTAGCTACAAGTTAATATGTCAAATAACCAGCTGAGAAGGTGAATGCATTCTGTTCTGCCCTTATGCACCCAAAGTCTCTCGCATACCTTTCAAACCCCCTCCCTCCTCCCCTGCATTTCTTTTTTCTCTTCCTTTGCTCTCGTTCAGTGACGTCAAGCGGCGGCGTCAGCGAGGCGGCTGGTCTGGGCTGGGAGCTCGCGCCGCTTATTGCCTGTCAATTACTGTATTTAAAAAAATATTTATTTATTTGCTTATTTATTTATTTATTTATTCATTTATTTATTTATTTGGGTTGCGACACGGTGCCTCTTAGACGACACACTGAAAACAATTAACAAGAGCCACAGGTTGAGATACGAGATGACAGAGGTGAAGCAATAGCGCGCGTGCAGGTTAAATATCTCGCAAGCTCAGAAATATGACTAATTAATAAAGCAAACGCTAAAGCTGAGCGAGTCAATGCTGCTGGATTTTTTTAAACACATATATTCAGGCGGGACCGTTTACATGCTAATTGCGTTCCTCGAGCCTGGAAAGTCAGCTAAAGGGCTCCTCTAAGCTGAGCTCAGCAGCACCGCGGCGGTGGACTGAAATGAATAATTAATCAACACAAATCGCTGGTACACGGTGTCAGAGCCCGCGGGGCTGTGGGAGGTGTGAAGCTGCACTCGAGGAGCGGCGCTGCTGGCCTGCAGGGCTTACCTGAGGACAGGTGAGCAGCTCTAACTCAGCACTGAGACGTGCAGAGGGCACGGAGAAAGGAAAAGACAACACAAACAGTGAACTGCTTAAATAAACGTGTGAATGCGACTAAGAAAACGGCCTTAATGCTCCACGAAACAGGCGTGACTGACAGTATTTAGAGGCCCAAGCAGGACTTTTAATGTAGAATATTTTAAAAAGCGCTTGAAAGAGGGATAAAACTAAACTAAATAAATACATTTGCCAAAGTAAATAAATAAACAAAACAAAGAAAATAAATAAATAAATAAATAGCCAACCATATATAGATAGATAGATAGATAGATAGATAGATAAATAAATAAATAAATAAATACATAGATAAATAAATAGATAGATAGATAAACACAGACAGGCAGATAGACAGGCAGATAGACAAACAGATAGATATATAGACAGATAGATAGACAGATAGACAGATAGATAGATAGATAGATAGATAGATAGATAGATAGATAGATAAAAGTCTCCCGGCACTCAGTTGGGGAACGTTTCCCTTCTAGACCTATTCCTGCTAAACTCCATAACCTGCTCTGTATAAAGGTAGAGAGCAGTAGCAGCTTATTAAAGCCCGCGCTCACCGGCTCTGAGCTCGAGCTGCTCTCAGCTTTTTATCTCTGTACTTATCAACCTAATTGGCGACTCTCTGTCTTCGTACCCCGCGTGTTTCAGCGCGAGAGAGATAACTGAGCGAGACGTAACGAAGCCTCGCTAATGGTCCGCGCTTTGGCTGCGCTCGGCCAAACCCCTGCGACCTGTCGGCACCACCGAGAGAGAGACGCACACACACCGCCCATTAATATGTAAAGGACCGTTTGATCGCTCGAGATCGCCCGCAAAAAGCCCCAATGTTTTCACAAGAGGAGTGTCGTGACTGCTAATTAAAAACAATTAGGCGCGCGCCACACCGGCCCCCTGCTTCACACACCATAAAGACCATAAAGCGCCGCTCCTCCCCACTTAATGCACGAGCTGGGGAGGCTGTGGGTTTGGGGTTTGTTTGCGTTACGGCCGCGTGTGAAAATCAACAGTTGAAAGTTTGTTGTTTTAAGCACATAATGATCGCGAGACAGGCTGTGTTATTTACATATATGTGAGACCATATATAAATATATAAATCTATATATATTTATACATGATATAAATCATATATCATATATAAATATATGGTGCAACAAATATAGAAATGAAACACTGACCCATATATAAGTGTGTGTATATATGTATACATGCATGTGATAAGCCGTAAATGATAAAGTCATTTCAATTACTGAAAAAGTTCCATCATTTAATCCGTTTATAATCCTTTGCTTGTTTTAAAAGTGTACAGTTGGGCCTAAACGTGAGTTAAAATTGGAATAACCTAAACAGGGGTTTCTAAAAGTGTCCCCTGTTACCTCCCATTGGCTCACAATACTCAATATTCCCAGATCATACGTGTCTTTATTTCACGGCTAATAATCTCCGTGTCATAAATCAAGAAGACTGATCCATTAGCACTGGATAATTTAGGTTCACAAAATACGATGGAAACCAGTAATGTGGGCTACAGAGGCTACAAACTCACACGCTTTAAAGAGAGAGAGAGAGAGAGAGAGAGAGAGAGAGAGAGAGAGCGAGAGAGAGAGAGAGAGAAAGAGAGAAAGAGAGAGAGAGAGAGAGAAAAGAAAAGAAAAGAAAAAGACGTTATCAACGCGGAGCGCGAGGCTGTAAGAAAGGTAGAAGATCTCAATAAAACTGCCCCCGCTGATTGATGTATCTCTCTCTTTCTTTCTCTCTTTCTCTCATTTTCTATCTGTCTCTCTCTCGACCCGAGCCAATGGCGACAAGCGCGGCCTGCCATTGGTTCACGCAGAGGAGGTCACTAGCAGCGCTGTTATTTATTTCGCTCGAGCAATTTTTTGTTTAATCCTGCACCCGTATTCATACAAGCCCCGTTCACTCGCGCTGGTATTGGTTATCGCAGGCCGCTGTGGCTGCTCACAAGCCAATCCCGGCGCACGAAGGGCGTGGCTTTGGGCTCTGCGTTCTGAGTGCGGAGGGCGGAAAACGGGTGGGAAAAGAAACTATAAAAAAAAAAAACAACACCGCGTCACTGCCAGCCTGTCGCTCCGCCCACTCGTCCGCGTCATATGGAATGCACTGGCGCCAGTTCAGACGGAGCAGAGAGGCGCAGCTCATTAAACACGCAGCGCTCGACACGGCAAGCAGAAAAAAAAACGCTCAAGACTCGCTCGTTTTAAAAAGTCCGCGGCACCGCAGAAGCTCCTGAGCTGCGTCTGCAAAAATGACAACAGGATTAACTTTCTCTGAATCGGACTAAGGCGGGAGAAGGGAGGAGCGGAATGCAGTAAGTGCGATGTTTCTTTGGGGTCTCGCTGTAAACCTCGGTGGCCCACCAGCTTCGAAACGGTTTAAAAAGTGTCCGGCTTTAAACTGGAAAGCGTTAATATGAAACACTGCTGACACGAGTCGGTTTCCGAGGTCCGTCGTTTATTGTTGTTTATTATTGTTTATTATTTATTGTCATTTTTTTTGCTCAGTCTGTTGTGAAGGGTATGCAGGGGCTCACGCGCGATGTGTTTTTGTTTTGCAGGTGAACTGCAGAGCAAAAAGGACTTCAGCTCAACTTCAAACTTTGCTGAAAGTGAAAAGGAGACTGTCAAGCACTGCATCCCTTTTTTCCTCCCCTTTTTTTTAGTCTAACCAAGAGCAGGCCTGCTCTACTTTTTTGGGAACTATACATGATCTCAGTTCTCGCTGGGTCTCAAAAATCCAGAAAAGTTTAAATTTTTTAAAATTTTTAATTTATTCATAAATTCCTCACAAGTCATGGAGGTGGCTGACCAGTCCCGTTGGATGGCGCATCATCACGCCGTGCTCAACGGTCAGCACCCGGACTCTCACCATCACGGCCTCGCGCACAACTACATGGAGCCTATGGCGCCCCTCTTGCCTCCGGACGAAGTGGACGTGTTTTTAAACCACTTGGACTCGCAGGGCAACCCGTACTACCCCAATTCCAGAGCCAGAGTCTCCTACAGCCAAGCTCACGGTGAGAAAGCGATTCTGCATGTGCATCTTTCACAGCTAACAACAGCAGCAATAATAATAATAATAATAATAATAATAATAATAATAAATTAGACGTGTTGCGTTTTATTTTTCCAAGATCAAACAGAGCAGAGCAATATTTTTCCCTGAGACTGAGTTTGTTTTTGCATGCACTCTCTCCAAGAAAAAGCTCAGAAAGCAAGGGGAGGGTGTGCAAACAAACCCTGGTCACTACATGTGCGCATTCTTTGGGTCCCAAAATCTAAATGTGTTGCCTGATATTTCAGATTGATTAAGAAAATAACGTTTTGGTAAAAAATTGGCGAAAAAAAAACGCAGCATAAAAAACAAATGCATTCGCTTTAAAACGCAACTGTTCTTAGCTTCTCTTCGTTGGTCAGCATGGCCAGTGTGTCCAGATATCCGCGTAATAAAAATGTAGTGATGTAATTTAGTGATGTCAGTAGTGATGTAATTTAGGCCTTCAGTTCGGGTTTCAATTATTTTTACATTTTTAAGGAAAACATTTTTAAATTAAATATTTTACAGAGAAGGAAATCTTACACACTCACAGCTGCCACATGCCCTGTGAAATGGTCAGCTTTACCATACTGGGTTTATAAAATATCGCCGGGGGTGTTACCTGTCGCCTCCGCTTAAAACGTGTTGAAATGTAAAGATAAGAAGAGAAAGAGAGTAAGAAAAAAAAACTGTCCAGCAAATGGGACGGAGAGGAAAGGGAAGTTCATGTCACTTGTTCCCCCTCAGTTTGGGGCAGGGAGAAAGAGAGAGAGAGAGAGAGAGAGAGAGAGAGAGAGCAAGGCACTTCCCGGATACCAAATCCAAACGAAAAAATCACTGATAAGCGCTCTTAGTTCATCAAGTAAATGAAGAAGAGCGCAAGTCCGCGTCCTGCAGCGTTTATAATGCGGCTCTTTGTCTCTAAATCGTGACGGATCGTTTCTAATGCCGGCTGTACCTCTAAGGCCGGTGTGGAGCTCTTGAAGCCTTTTTGGAAAGAACTGCGTCGAAAAGAAGAGATATGAAGGCGTTGGCTGGACGTTTGGCAGGATTTTAGGCTGAACTGCTTTAATCTGTTAGAAACCTATAAAAAGCTCCATAAGTGGGAAAAAAAACACATGGTTTGGGTTTGAATTCAATGTCGAGCGTGTTTTGTTCTGGGAGTGAATCAACAGGTAGGAACGCAAGCGAAGTCGGATTAGAAGATCTTTATAGATTATCGGTGAATGTCCAGTTCTTGTCAAAATGTCCGTCGTTTCTAACTTCCGATCAATTTATTCATCTGAAATCTGGAGGTTGTTGTCTGTTATGTAACGTCTTTTCTGTCTAATCTTTATAATTTGAAATGTATCTAATCGCAAATCTTTTCTATTCTTTCTATTCTGAAATCTGTTCATTTCTAGTGCTGAATGTATTTAATTCTAGTCAAACGTAGTCCTGTTTGAAATGTAGGCTATTCTTTCTAGTGTTTCAGGTCGATTTTTTAATCTAATCTTTGCTTTCTAGTGTTTCTTGTCTGAAATGTATGAATGCCCATTCTTTTAAGCAACGTCCTGTTTGGATACTAATCTCTAAAAATTATATTTGCCTTTATTTACATTTATTAACATTGAGTTATACAGTCTGAAAACCTGGTTTTGTAGTTTGTTTTAACAATTGAGTTGTGTTGATTATGTATTAACCGCTCGTGTCCTGCTCACCACCACCTCCCCCGCCCCTCAAACAGCTCGTCTCGCGGGCAGTCCGGTGTGCCGGCCGCACCTCATCCACAGCCCCGGTCTGTCGTGGCTGGACAGCGGCAAGGCGGCGCTTTCTGCAGCGCACCACCACAACGCCTGGGCGGTCAGCCCGTTCGCCAAAGCCGGTCTGCACGCGGCCAGCGCGGGCTACCCGTGCAGCAGCAGCGGCGGCGGAGGCTCAGGCTCCAGCTCGGGTTCCGTCTCCAGCTCGGCCCCAGTCCCGGTCCCTGCGCCCGCGCCATCGAGCCACGCGAGCCCGCACCCGCTCTACAACTTCCCACCCACCCCGCCCAAAGACGCGTCCCCTGACCCGGGGCCCTCGTCGCCAACGGCCTCCGCCACCAGGATGGACGAGAAGGAGGCCGTCAAGTACCAGGTGGCGCTGGCCGACGGTATGAAGATGGAGGGCTGCAGTCCCCTGCGCAGCAGCCTGGCCATGGGCGCCCCAGCGCCCTCCGCCCACCACCCCATCCCCACCTACCCCGCGTACTCCCTGCCCGCACCACACGACTACGGCGCCAGCCTCTTCCACCCGGGCAGCCTGCTCGGGGGCTCCACGTCCAGCTTCACGCCCAAATGCAAAAGCAAGACCCGCTCGAGCTCAGGTGAGGCTCACAAGATCTTACTGATGAAAGCTCCTTATGTTAATAAATGATTGAATTCACGAGAGAGGTGTTGGACCAGCAATGTACTCATATAATGACTTTTATGTAATATTTAATATGCATGGCTAGAGAGTGGGAAATTTTGGTCCAGTATAAAACGTTGGTTGGAACTTTGTATTTTCCAGATTTTTTTCTAACCTCCATATTAATTACTGAAGTAGGCCTGGATGTTCTAACTATATTTAGCATTCCAACTCATTAAAATTGATCTGATTATTGGAGGATGGTTATTGGTGGAGCATATATTGGAGCAAAAGTTTCTTTCAGGAATTGTACTTGTCTGACATCACGTGATCAGCTTGCAAACGAGAAAAATTTACGACAATTTGTTTTCCATTTTTGTCCAGAAAGGCTTTTCTCAAGTAACCACGCTATATGACGCCAGTATGCTTCCCATTGTTATTTTGTGTTAAATAAGCTTGAGAAAATTTTTTTTTTTAGTTTCTCCCTGAGGCGCTGCTCTTCTCTGTCCCAAGCCTGAATGGTTCTTCTGGTTGTCCCATTAAAACGAGTCCCTCCTAAAAAGGCCACTGACTGATAAGAGATAAGAAGAGACACTTAAAACGCGGCTTAACAAACATAAAAAGAGCAATCGGGGTCAATAATGATGTGTCAGATATGTTTACACAGGCTAATCATTTGTCAAATATATAGGCCCAAACTATTACTGTTGAGCGTGAATAGGAAATAAAATAGGCCAAATGATACAGTTTTACAGCGTGAATTTGTAAACCAGATGATTTTAATATTGGGATTCAAATTCAAAGCTTAACAGAAATCAATCCACAGTGGATTCCTGGTGAAGTCTGTCATTTCTGATGATGATTTATAGGCGTAACGCTCTTTGCACTCTAGGTTTCGTTTTGCACGCTTGTTTTCGTCTGCAGTGGGGCTCCAATGCGTTTTAAATCCTGCAGGAGTCACGACGCACTGGCTCCTGCCATATCCTGTACACCAAATCACACCCTACTGCCCCCCCACCCCTCACCCCCCTACACTAACAAAGCTCCACAGGGACACGCCGTCCCGGGCCATAGCAACCTCATGCTCACGCGCTTGAAAGGACGTAGTGACTCAAAGACTAAAGTTTATACCTATTTGTGATTAGCAATAGTGGTATTTTTTAGTATAATTATTAGCAATAGTAGCAATATTATTATAGGACAATTATTAATACATTATTATAGTGGAGGGATGGCATTGTTAATATTATTTTGTTGTTAATAGTAGTTGTAATAGCACTATTATTATCATTAATATTATTATTATTATTGAAGTTGTTGCTGTTGTTGTGTTTGTAGGTGTCATTGTTGTCACTATTATCTTGTTAATCATGGGCCAACAGTAATGATAGCAGTAGAAGTGGAAGCAGCAGTATTAAGAAGAGCGTGATGGTCATAATGGTGATCGGTGCAAAGTCTTACTTTCGAATACGTTCTGTTGAAAGGCCTAATCTGACCATGTGTGGTGTAGAAGGAGAAGCTCAGTTTCAGGCTTTGTGTGCTGCTGGCGATCACACCATTGCAAGCAGCACAGGAGCCTGTCTTCCTTACAAAGAAACATATGTAATCATCATTAAATGCTGACAATCCTATAATCTCTTTACCTCTTGGCAAGAGCACCCTGCGTTCAGCTAGGATTGAATGCAGAATTAGGTCCAGAAAACAACATTCGCAAACATGCAAAAACAGAAAGGGAACCTACAAAGAGTTCAGAGATTAAGGGAGGAAATCTCTTACATTCCTGCATTGTCTTTTATGCTATATGTGATAGCACTGCTATGAAATCTTTGAACATAAAAGATGGTTGCAGATCTATTACGTTCACCAATGCAGAATGAACCTCTGCTGGGTTCAGCAGTGTCTTGTTGAGTGCTGCTTGGTGCAAAAGGTTGCTGTAACAATGAATTCAATACTGGTGACTCTGCACACCTCTGTGAAACCAAACCAAAGCTGTGTCAGGGGGTCAGCGTAATGCGGCTTTCCGTTCGGACGTCTTTGGACAACCTTCTCCTCTGCCGTGGCCTGAGGCGCAGGTTCCAAACCTATGGCACTGTGGCTTTAGCACCTCATAGCCACTCCCAGAACCACAGTGCAGCTGAAACATGTCGATACCTCTTTCTGTGGCTTCGCTGGAATGGTGACACAGAGAAAAAGGGAGGCGGCGTGGCCGAATTACTAAACATCATGCACTTCAAAAGGAGCGCCTCCATTGTCCAGGGCGGATTCCTTTCTCTGGCCTGGGTGGGACAGGTAGTCCCTCACATTAGAATGGGAATAATAGGGAGATGCTCTGGGGAGAGACTGAGGGTATAAATTGAGCCAAACACGTCTTTTCCGGCAGGTTCAGGACTTTATTGAATGAGTGAAGATATTATAGGATTCACTCATTCTTGATTCTAATGTTGGCAAACCCGAATGAGTATGAGGGGGGGTATGGAAACCAAAATAGACATCGAATCTAAGCACATAAAAGAACACAAATAAAGGCATGTAGTTACTTTGAAGCACACTGGAAAACAGGACTTAGCCAGAGCTTAACGTTCAAGATTGTAAGCCAAATGTGGGCAGCTCATAGACATATACTGAACAGGCTGAGTCTAAATATATGACACATTACGTGCATTGTGAGCTACACTGTGTCTATGATGTTGGTGTTAAATTATGCAATGCTGTTTCTAAATGAGCTTCTTGGGTTTTGGACACACGCTTGTTGCTTCTCTGCCATGCTTTGGTGGATTATTTTACACGGAGGTGTCCGTGTCCATGCCGATCCGACTGGGGGCAAGTGACAAACCTGGGGTCAGCCAAGCACGGATGTCTATTGTTCTGGTCATTCTTAGAGAGAGATATTTTATATCATGAGGAATATCTTAATGCGTTGTCAATGGGAGTGGTAAGGTTACATATCTCCTAATTAGCTTGGACAGTTTGCCTGACCAGATTGCTCCACTACAGTAAAAACAACTGGGTCCACTATATCTTGAGGCCACCATTGAATCATCTGTATGATTTTACTTTACTGATGGAAGATGATGGAACTTCTTAATTATATAAAATTTCTCTCTGTTTTTTCCCCACCTGAATTCTACACAGAGGGGCGTGAGTGTGTGAACTGCGGCGCTACCTCCACCCCTCTCTGGAGGAGAGACGGAACGGGCCACTACCTCTGCAATGCCTGCGGCCTGTACCACAAGATGAATGGTCAGAACCGGCCACTCATCAAGCCCAAACGCAGACTGGTGAGTAGCTCATTTGACCCTTAACCTCTGTCATACGCACACACACATACACACACACACGTGAGAAAGAGGGCTAAATAGAAGCTCGGAGCAGAGAGAATAAGCACAATTCCAGGAAAGTTATATTTTCCCTATGATCTTCCTGGAATTGTTTGTCGCTCTCACCCCCCGGTGATCCCCTACACTGCCTGTTACAATCCTGCTACTATTGCTATTGTTACTGCTATCATTATTGCTACTAGTCCTGATACTGTCACTGATACCAATGCCCACGCTGGCTTAATTAGCACCACGGCACATTGACTGGACAACCGCACAGACTGAGCCATGCACTGGTATCCACAAGACTTGTCCTACGTTAGGTTGATCTCTGGGAGAGCCACAGTTCTCCAGTTAGCTGTTACGCACCATGGCATTGTCTTTGACAAACATGTCAAAAAACTTCCTCGCATTCAGGCAGTATTTTAGGACGATTCGATTTAGGGTTTTCTAAGTTTAGCTAAAGGAACCCGTGGCCTATTAATAAGACAATATGCAGTAGTTTATAATTACAGTGCTAGAAATAAAGCAAATGAAAATGAATTACATCATCGTCAGGTCTTTGGTCATTCCATGCAAATGCAGTGGTATCTTGCTCACACTTTTATCTATGTTTTTAGTTTTCAGAAATGAAATAATAGCAAGTTTATAAAGTACCTGGAAAGTCATGATCACCAAACCATCTGAAAATAATAAGCCTTTAGTTAATTTGTGTCCTTATAATAATGACATCCTATGCAGGAGTAACCCAAGGGAGAGATTTGGATTTTAAAGTTACTTGCAGGGCAGCTTAAGCATTACATGTATATCATAATCATAAATAACACTGAAAAAATAGGTCATCCAAAAATTAAAATGATTATTAGACAACATAAATTTCATTTTTCTTTTTCAACTTACCCCTCATTTACTTGTTTTAGCCTGTACTGGCTCAAAGGGCCACTCCTTTTATTCAATCTGTTGTACCGAGACTGTCTATAGGACAGACACTCTCTACAGGACAGGTACTCTCTTAACTGGTGATGCTATAGGACAGAGTGTCACTATAGGATAGAGAGTCTATAGGACATAGATGCTCCTTAACTAGTGACTGTGTAGGACAGAGACTCACTACAGGACATAGACTCTCTTGTACAGAGACTTTATATTGGATGGACAGTGACTATAGGACAGAGATTCTCTATAGTGACTCTGTGAGACAAAGACTTACTATATGGCAAAGACTGTCTATAGGACAAGGACTAGGACTGAGACCGTCTACAGGATGGAGATTCTCTATGGGACTGAGATTCTCTATATGGCAGATATTCTCTATAGGACGGAGAATCTTTATTGGGCATTCTCTAGAGGACAGAGATTCTCTATATGACAAGTATTCTTTATAGGACAAGATTCTGAATGGGACAGAGATTCTCCATAGGAAGAAGATTGTCTATATGACAGATATTCTCTACAGGATGGATATTCTTTATAGGACAGAAATTCTCTAAAGGATGGGGATTCTCTATTAGACATTCTCTATAGGACAGAGATTCTCTATATAACAGATATTCTGTATAGGACAAAATTATTTATGGGGCAGAGATTCTCCATAGGAGATGGAGGACAGAGATTCTCTATATGGCAATTATTGTCTATAGGACAGAGATTCTCTATGACAGATATTGTCTGTATGACCGATTCTCTATAGGAGATGGAGATGCTTTATAGGACAGAGATTCTTTATAGGACAGAGATTCTCTATAGGACAGATATTCTCTATAGGACAGAGACTCTTCATATTATGAGCTCTCTGCCTCTGAATGAATCTGCTCTCATCTTACTGTGTATTGCCAGAGAGGGAGGAATCTCTGTGAGCTTTCAAAGGCCAAAATTACAGGCTACACTTAAAAAGGAATCTTCATGTTTACACCAAAAATAACTATAATTGTGTCTGCATGTATAGCTAACGCTATTATTATTATTATTATTATTATTATTATTATTAAAAGCGAGGCAGTTAGGGAGCTTTCTCTCCTGTGACTGAGCTTTGTGTGGTGTTCTCCAGATGAGAACTCCATAAGCTTTTCCATGCGGCGCAGGGCGCAGCTTTGGGCTCGAGTGTTTTCAGAGCTCCGCGTTCAAAGGCCGTCCAGTTGTTTCCTATCCGGATATCTGCCCGCGCCCGATAAGGAAGCCAGGCTCCCCGGGTGCTTCCGTCTCCAACAAACCCCACTGCATTCTCTCTGGGCCCCGGCAGGAGCGCGTCTCACACACACGCCTTTACTGCAAAGCGATTAGCACAACACACACACACACACACGGCAGCGGCAGCAGGACCAAGCTGTGTGTGTGTACGTGTGTGTGAGTGTGTGTGAGGGGCGGGGACGGTGCGGGGCATTTTGGAAAATAAATGGATTTATGCGCTCGCGCTCTTGTTTGTCCGCGCTCGGTTGGCACTGAGCTTCAGCGTCGGAATGCGAGTGTTTTTGTTGTCGTCTACACTTATAAAAATATTAATTTAACGAAGGCCAGTAGAGTTTGGGGGTCTTTATTAATGTAATCAACACTTAAAATTATTTTTAATTATTATTTTCATATATTATTATTATTATTATTATTATTACTGCTGCTGCTGCTGTTATTATATTTAGGTTTATATTTAACAAAGTGCAGGTTTTTGTTTTTATTATTATTGTAGAAGTAGTATTATTCCTTTTTCAATTTTTTGTAGCCCCTTTATTTTTATTTTTTATTATTATTTATTTACTTATTGATTTGATTTAACAATTTCCTCTTTTCTCTGTCTGTTTTTAGACGTAGGTCATTTTTTCCTCCTCCTTTTCTTCCTTTTTTGCCGTTGTTCAAAGCCCCTCATTCCGCATTAGGGGTGCTTATGTAAACCGTAAACGAACAGAAGACACGAAAGGCTCGTGGCTGCGGGGGGAATTGCATTGTACGCTTATAAATGTTTCTTATTATGTGTGAAAAATTGATGTGTAATGGACACAGACCCCCCTTCCTCCCTCCCTCCCTCCCCTACCCCCCGACTCCCAGCTCCCCCCACCTCCCCTATACACACACACACTCTCAGCATCACCCCAACAGGACAAACTCAGGGCTCCTCCACTCCAACAGCACTGCAACCTTTAGCAAAGCAGAGAAGCAGCTCGTTTGAGCAGGCGCAGCGCCCCCCACCCACCCCCTTAATCACGGCACAAATTGGAAAATTGAATTAAGCTCGTCTAAATGCACAGAATAGATTCAGTTAGGCCGATCGAGGCGACTCCCTGGAAGCGACTTCATGTGTTTAAAGCCGGCGCTCTCTTTCATCTGATCTGGGGATGGTGGGATGGTTTGGAAATGCTGTGTGCTGTGGAGTACACACAGCCACGCACAGCCATAATATTCGTCACCCCCAGCTCCTCCAGCAGATCTTTATCATGGCTGAAGCATTTAGCCCTGAGTGCAGGAGGCCTGCGACTGGAGCGGCTTATGGAGATGGCGTTAGACATCAGAATAAAACAGTCTGAAACAAACGGAGCAGGTCTGAACTCGATACAGATATTAGGGTCATATACTATAAGCAGTAATATTGTAATGAATATTTCATAGACCGTGTCGTCGAGGAATATATTTTCTCCCACAAAAAAAGGCGAAATAACAGTGGTTTATAATAAACTGTAACAAATATGGATTTGTTTATTCTTTGTTCTTATAGGCTCCGTATGTTTCACGAAATAGCGTGTAAATTTGTAAAACATAAAATTATTTATAAAAAAGATTATCTTACAAATATACATATATATATATATATATATATATATATATATATATATATATATATATATATATATGTATATGTGTGTGTGTTCAAATTGTGTCTGTATAAAAATAATTTAAAATATTTTAATTAAAAAAAATATTAACCGTTTAATTATTTTCATAAACTTCTCATCCACGTGTTTTCCTGTTTTCAAAACAAAATTATTGATATTGTTATTAAAAAGCGAAACGGTGTTAAACATAAATAATAAAACACATACATCCCATCATGGTTTTCGTATTGTTTAGAAATGCTGAACATCAGGATTACAAGCTCTTTTTAAACACCACTGAAGTAACTTGTTGCTCGTGTTGGTTCAAAATGCCGAGCAAAAAGAAAACGGTGCGTGTATCAGCTTTATGGAGAATAATGTCTTTTTTTGTCCCCCTAACATCTCTTATATCTCAGTATTTAAAGTGTCTCAGTATTTAAAGTGACCCTTTAACATGTCTCCTGTCTCTTCTCTTGTAGTCTGCGGCGCGGCGCGCGGGCACCTGCTGCGCGAACTGTCAAACCACCACCACCACACTGTGGAGGCGCAACGGCAACGGAGACCCGGTGTGCAATGCCTGCGGCCTCTACTACAAACTGCACAACGTAAGTGAAGCCCCAGCGGACACTTTCATACCCTCTTAGGGGGCACTGGTTTGGCTGGGGGGTGAGTTTTTGGGGGTGTAGAAATGGGCGCCTGCGCCTGTCAGCCTGACCGTTTCTCGTTCTCCGCTTTTTGACGGGTCCAGCTTTGTCTGGGTGGGTGGGGGCGTTACCCCCAGGAGAGCCCCCAAGGACAGACCTGCCACTCAGCGCCTTTCTCTCTTTGGCTTGGCTCACATTAGCCACTTTATCCCGAGAATAAATCATTGCTCGCCCTTAATGGGACAAGCGAGACGAACCGCAACAAAGTGGCCACCCAAAAGAAAAGTGGGAGGCCGTTTTTTTCCCAGCAGGCCTGGTCATGGCTGGACGGTTGTTCTGCTTAATAATTAAATTCATGATCGAAATGCACCCTTTAAAAAACATGAGCATCACGACACACAAATTAAACAGTTAGTTTTGTAATTGAAAAAAATCTAAAATTACATAACTAAATGAAAGCAACAATTAAAGTTGCTATTTTTTTCCCTATTATTTTTTGCTTGTTAATAAAAAGTCATGCATAGATGGTCACCTCTTAAACTTGAGGTGAAAATGTGTTGAATCCTCCTCCAGGCAGAGAAAGAAATGCGGTGTAACCTTGTTCTTGCTCTCTCTTTGTAGGTCAACAGACCGCTGACCATGAAGAAAGAGGGCATCCAGACGCGCAACCGCAAGATGTCCAGCAAGTCCAAGCGCAGCAAGCGGGTGGGCGATGGCTTTGAGGAGCTGTCCAAGAGCATGCACGACAAAACATCACCCTTCTCGGCTGCCGGGGCCATGGCAGGCCACATGACCCACATGGGCCACCTGCCACCTTTCAGCCACTCTGGCCACATGCTGCCCACACCCACTCCCATCCACCCCAGCTTCAGCCACCACCACACTGGCCGCTCGCCTGCCTGGGCCGAGCCTCACTGAGGGTGCATCCCGAGTTGCCCCATCACAAATGCCTCTACACCTTTCCTCCTCACCTACTGCAGTGGTCACAACACAACTCCTGGAAATCTAACTTGCTACAGGGTTTAGTTCCAAGCCCAATCCAGCACATTTGGTCCAGCTAATGAGTAGCTATGTTAAAAAATATACTCTATATAGGGATATATTCTGGGATCAATTTTTGTAGGGATATCCAAAAATAGGGTGGGAAACATCTAGTGCACTCTAACAATCCCACAATGTACCACAATAGTTAGGGTACTGGAAAATATCCAGTGTAGTGAAAAACATAGTGGGAAACATCCACTGCACTCTTACAGTCTCACAACGTACCGCTACAGGTAGTGTACCAACAATGTACCCTACAGAGCACAGAATACTTATAACACGGTATGTCGAATGCGACGGAATGTGTCTAATTTCATAGGATAATGATCTAACCTGCGTAATGTTAGTGTACGAAACTGTGCATATTTATCAGAATCATGAATTCTGTTCTGTGCAATAGTGTTTTATAAAGTTTCCCTGGTTTTCCAACATAAAGAATAGTGATTAGGGGTGCATTTTCAAACACAGCAAATATCTTCAGAAGTCCCTGGTTATCTGGATTGGGGTGTGAGATTTGGGTTGGAGGTGTATCCTGTAGGAAAACTGATGTCTAGGAGGAGGGTTGGTGACCACTCCCTGGTCTTCACAAGTACCTCTACAGGACATGGAGAAAAAATCCTGGTTGGCCGCTGCATAAGAAGGCGTGGCTATGTTTCCACACAAATGACCATAAAGAGACAATGTTTGTGCTGTTTTTCCCCTAAAGCTGAGGGGCTGGAGTGTAAAGAGGACATTTTGCTTGTTTAAAAGCCCCACCCCCCCTCTCACGGACACAGACTTAACAAGATTGTGATGTTTTGAGGGGGAAACTCCCGATGCTTTTAACCTTTCTTTATTTTGTACTGAGTCACTTTGGTACTGCCCGAAAGAGAGGATGTGTGTTACAGCCGAGTCACTGTGTAAGAGTGTGTGCGTGTGTGTGTGTGTGCGCTGGTGCCATCAGCCGCTGCCACTGGTAAACTGAACGGATACGGCTCACGGTTTGCAAAGGCCTGGCTCTCGGACTCTATACCAGAGAATAGAGAGAGAGAAAGAGAGGTAGAGAATATAGATGGACTGCTTGTTCTATGCCTACATGCTGGGATATACACACTCCACGGACATGACGTCCTCTGAACAGACTCTATGGACACGACTAGCAAGCAAAACAGATGTTTATAAAGCTTGATTGTTATTATCGTTATTGTTATAATTGTTATGATAATTTATTTTCACACTTTCTTTTTTTCCGCTCTCCTCAAAACCATATGGGTATATTGTTATAATTATAAATATTATTTGATTATTAATATCAAAAGAAAGAAATGAAAAAAAAACAAACAAAAACACAAAAAAACAAACAAACAAAAAAATCAACACTGACTTATCTTAGCCAAGGCGATGTTGCTGAACTGTACGTTTTTATCATTTTCCATTACACAAATAAAGGAAATAAAGTTTTAATACTTAATAATCTTTGCCCTTCCTTTGTAATATTTGTTTATGTTATGTGAAATGAAGTTATATATTTAACGGTAATTTCCACTCATAGCAAGATGTGAAGCACAGATTAGGCACATTCATGCAAATGAATAGCTTAATCATTGAGTTGTGAATGCATACACACACACACACACACACACACACACACACACACACACAGTTGTTCCATTCAATATACAGTACTGTGCAAAAGTAGTTTTAACAGTTTTAAACTATCTTGCATTTTTGCTTGTAAACATATAAAATAAATACAAATAAACAGTAACACAGTAAAAAGTAACAATAATGTATTTCTTTTAAAAGTCTTTGACAGTTATTGTTATTGATATTTTTAGATGAACACATTTTGGTTTGGTTTTCTTTTCAATGCAGTTCCACTCATTACATTGTTTTCTTCATCACCTGATTTAGTGTGATTAAATGTTGATTAGTCAAGCTAGGTATTAGACAATAACTACAGATACTATTACTGATATTAATACTTATTAATAACTACTAGCTTTAGATATGCCCCAAGATTGGTCCAGCATAGGACAGAAGGATGAGGAGGATGGTGGGGTTCATATAAATATAACTACACTTATTCACCTGCATATTTTTTGACATCTTTTTAACACAGGGAACACAATACCCAGCAATTCTTTACCACAGGCTACCGCTGTGACACAACAGAAACAATGTCTAGCAGATGATGCAAGTTTAAAAACATAAAAAATAGATAAACTCTTTCCTTTTAGGCTATAATTTTATCCTAAAATGCTTTGCAAGTTTAGCAGCTTCATACTTGCTCATGATCTGTTCAGGATATAGGCCTAGGATTAGCTACATTTCATCAAGCCAATTACCTAAAATTACCCATATTACAAAGAGTTGAAATGAATGGTAATTACATGCACTGAAATAAAAGTTGTTTTGAATATGATTCAAATGTGTCCATCATTTTCACATAAACATTCTGACAAAAGTAATACTTATAGACAAAATAGTGGTTATATAATTCATTCATGTGTAAATTTACATGTCTGAATCAAACAGTGTATACAGCATGTGTGCGCAATGCATATTCTGTACAATATAGAACACGCAAAAAAAATGAGTTCCGTCTGGAATACAAGAAAAAATCTTCTGAAAAGTTTGAATTAAGCTGAATCATGAAATGTCCAGGCAAATACAGGACTGTCTTGGAAAATGCAATATGTCTGGTAACTCTACAGAGGGAATTCCATCTCAGCTGGGTAGGTGAGCACTGTGTGATAAGTTCTAAGGCCAGTGAACTGTGCATTATGACTGTTGGGACCTTACTTGTGCTGTGTGTTGTGACTGAGGCAGAGTTTGGGGAAGAAGGAAGCTTTGTAGTTTAGCAGCCCTGGGGTGCTTCACTCTGACCCATACAACAGGCTCCAAACACAGCGTACGCAAAGACTTCTTACACACGCATGCACTTCTACTAGGAATGGGTCGATACATCTTACCTTGTTATCAGTGACCAAAAAATGATCACAGCTTTTTGTATTATGGATGCAGTACAATATTCCATAAAAACAGGAAAAAAAGGCCAAAGGTGCTGATTAAGTGTTCTTTTGCTCTGCTTCATTTTATTAAAAAATATCTCACAGACTACAAGGTTGAATGACAGAATATTTCTACAGTATGTAGTAAAAAGGTTTTAAAAGCACTAATACACATTGAAATCATTTCACCATGTTTTATGCTAATATACTTTTTTATTGAACTTCTCATACTTTATTACACCCAAAAAAAAAAACAAAAAAAAAACAACTACTACAATTTAAACAAATATAAAATTATCACCAGCACTAAATAAATATGTAAACATGCTGTCCAGGCTTCTGCTTTACAGGAAGACTGCAGCAGAAGGATATTTACTTTTAACTTCCACTGTGACTTTTTAACCCCTTAAACTACTAAACTAATGCTTCTTATTTATTTATTCAAATAAATATTCAATAAAAAGGTCCATATCATGGAAAACTGATTTTTTAAATGAAAAGTTGTAGTATGTAAAACACTGTTAAAGTTTCCAAATGTGCAATTCACTCCCCAAGTCTATATAAGAAAACTAAGCTTCAAAAACAGCCCATTTTGAAAGTGTTTACATATATCAGCTTATTCAGCCTACAGCACTTTAGCCCTGCCCATTCACACTGAAGTTATAAAGATAGTTTCAGCCTAGACTGTTTTTTCAAAGACAAAACACGACACAGGGCACCCAATCAGAGCAGCACTTATTTCCATGTATCACTCTCATGAGCACAGTAACAAAAACAGGCTGTTAAGCTCTAAGCGATAAACAGAGGTTGGAAAATGGTCAGGCCAAAATAAATTATGGCTGTTTTTGGTACATAAAACCACACAAAGGTCACTTCAGGGAAAAAATTTAATATGTGGGATATGGGCCTTGTAGAACCTTTTATGCATTTAACTACTGTTAAGTGTGGCTGATATGGAAAAAAACTATGATATTTCAGGATATTTTCTTGCTACATAATAAGAATTACAAGATGTAGTTTTTTAGGTCTGATACGTTGGAATAGATAAAGTTCCCCATTTACAGCACTATCAAAATACAACACTCTGAACAACAATGATTTTTATTCAACATTTCATATACTGCACTGCGCTAAATCTAATTAATCAGGCCCCATTATGCTCTCTTTCTAATGAAACTGTATTTTTCAATGCTTTAATGCAACTTTTTCAGCTGTTTAATTTGATCTTCTCCATTAAATAAGTGCTTTCTGAATGATGTTGTTGCATTTATGTTATGTGTAAAGAATGTGATTGAAACAAAGGTGAATATTCCTTAGATTTTTATTTAGTTTGTCTCACAAACTACAATTCTGCACAGGAAAATACATGAAAGGGAATATAAGTCATTACTCTGATTAAGCAAATTCATAATAAGCACTTCCTGATCCGAACTGCTCTCTGAATGAGGCAGCATGCTTGCTTAAAAAACAACAGAGGAAGCCTTGTGCATCTTTTATACAGGCATAGAAACAGGATACAGAAACTCTGGATACTCTGGCCAATATGGAGATGCACACACTGTAACTCTACTATACTTACAATATCCACAATATGCTCACAAAAGCTCATGGCCATAATGTGGTCATTTATCATGATAACAATAAATAGCTTACTATTGCTCGCCCCTAACTACTATCAATAATTTGGTCATTTTCATGTTAGAATCATGTTTGTTATATAGTTATAAGAGCAAAGAAATGAAGTATGAGTCCACAACTTTACACAGCAAAACTGTCATGCAACTAATTGCATACTGTGAGTTGCCTGCAACCTAATTTCCATGCAATTTGACAGTTATACAAAGCAAAGTTGCACGAAACACATTGTTACTTCACTATATCGCCAAATCAACTTGTATTGTTTATTGTTTCGTTTCATGATGTGTAACATGCATGTGAATATTTACCACCATTTTTACTGCCTTTGCACAACTGTTCTATTGTTTTAAATGGCTGTATCAGAAAGCAGGATGAGAGCAATCTATCACTATTACTAGCACTTGGAAATATATTTGACAAAGAAAAATGAACTACAAGGGCTAAAGAAGTGTGGGTGAAAGACTGGTTACTGAAAAGAGAGAAAAGACGTTAAACAGCTGTTACCGCTAACTGGCTAGTTAACCCAGTGGGTTACAGAATTGCTAGCTTCGAGAAACTCTCATTTGTTTCTTGTGAAACAACAGTCACTAGGAATATCTCCTTTTCAAGCGTCCAAAAGACAATTTCTTGTCCATCCAGCCAACAGCATTTGTAAGCGATCCTTTGAAATGTGATTCGAATATGATCATGTGATGCATTACCAGCCTTTTGATTGGTAGTTTCATGAAACTTGCTCCATTAAGTTGAGACGCTTGCAACTGATTTTTAAATGAGTTGGAGGATGCGTTATGTTATGCAATTCAAGTGCAATTTAATTTCATGTTGGTTTCAAGCAACTCAAACTGTGTCAAAGTTTCACCCCTTTAGGCTGCCTAAAGGTATAAAAGGACAATATACAGGCATGGTTATCAAAATTTGAAACAGTCAATTAACATTTGGTTATCAGTTATTCTTTGAAATCATTAGAACGGGTAGTTGCTTCATTCCTAGAACTGAAAACAACATAAACAACATGCTAATGTGCACAAACTGCTATAAACACACCATCACACTGCCATTTGTCTACACACTCGCACACACAAATTTGTTGTCCCCGAGTCCTCCCCTCTCCACTTGACCCAGTCTTTCTTCCATGTACATTCTACTGGAGCCAAAGAGAGGAGTGAGAGGAAGGACAATGAGTGAGAGACGGAGAGAGCAGAGAGAGAGAGAGACGGAGAGAGAGGGAGGAAGGAAAGGCAATCAGGCCAGCCGTGAGCAAACACGTGGGGGGCAGTTTTGGACCCTTTTTCTGCGCTCTCTCCCAGATGTGCTTGCAGCTGAGGCTGCAGGAAACAGCCCTTAAACTGGCTCTCATTTAGAGCGAGAGAGCGTTTAACCCAGAGGAGCAGCGGCTAATGAGGGAGGCCAGGAGGAGCGGGAAGGAGCGGGGCCAGGCCCAGGTCAACGCTGCCAGCTTTCTCACCACACACTCCACACACGGATCCCCAGTGTCTCATTCACACCCTACACGCCAACAACGGCCAGCTCGGGCGCTTCTGCCAGCATTACAGCAGAGCAATACAGACACTGACTGATCAGGGCACATTGTACTGTTATGATCATGTGAATGGTCAGAGAGAGCATTGAAAGTCATTATTTGAATCGCCATTTAACAGATTTTATGATGGACAGATTCTATTCTATTCTATTCATTAAAGTCTTTAAACCTGTCGCTATCATGAGAAATGGATTAGAAATGGTAACTTTTTAGGCGAAGGGTAAAACATTCCAAGTACACTGTTGCTGTCTGAACAAAACCTTGTATCTCCA